AAGAGGTACTGCTGGGTGTTATTCCTCTCCATACCTGACATGTCAGTTTCTTTTATGAGACCATCTTCTGATTGTCAACAGTTGTTCAATAGATGTGAATTAATATGTGAAATAAAAAATATATCAATTCCAAAAATATTAATAATACGCTGCATCGGCGCCTTCAATAGTTACAAACACTATACTGCCCTACGAGTGGAGATATTTTCAGTAAGCAAATTATTATTATAAGTTATCTTTCTCTTTATTTAAATTATATATTTCTTATCATTCCATTTAATTATTTGTAAATTATCTTAAATGTTCTTAACTTTACATGGTAAAAAAGTTGACTTGGGCAGCTATTTCGGTAGTCACTATTTCCTTTTTAAATCTACGTTGGCTTTTGAGTTAAATTCTAATAATAAAATATTTTATAAAAATATCTATTTCAGATTAGTATGGTTGCGATTTTATCATGCTTATTTAAAATTTAGTTAGAAATGAGAAACGACAAGAAACCGCTCGACGATTCCGATTACTGCAGCACTTACTAGACAAACGCTCTAAACTTCCAATTAATTACAAAAGACTCATATACATGACTATAATAAGGCCTATTTGCACTTACGGAGTTGAGCTATGGGGCTCCACTAAACCATCGAATTCCTCTCGTATCCAATTCTTATAATCCAAAATCCTTCGTAAAATCCTCAATGTTTCTTACTTTTTTACAATTAAAACCATCTTTAATGTTTCTTTTGTTTCAGGTCTGGTCCAATCCAGATAACTATCCTTCCATAATAAATTTCAGAATCATCCCAACCCTTTCTTTTCTAACCTTGCTTCCTCTTCAATTCCTGATAACCCTCCGAGGCGTCTGAAAAGAAGATAGCCCCGTGATCTCCTAATGTAGACATATCATTAGAGTGCTACCATTGGGTAGTTAGTTACTCAACTAGTGTTTTAACGTCATTACATCCATATGTTCAAATTTATTAAATGTATTTCTTCAATACAGTTGTAAATATCATTAAGAATTATTTTTAAAAAAAGTTATAAATGATGGTGTGAAATGAACTTTGAAATGAATACCGCTGCTGTCACTTGTAACCGTTATTATAATGTTAAGATGATTTTGAAAAAAAAGTAAGTGCATTAAACTACACGATATAATTGAAATATCAACAAGGCGAGATTGATAATATGAATTTTTTTTTTTTTTTTTATTCACACCTGTCATGACAACCAGTGAATGTGAGGTTGATTGGAAAAAATAATGTCATGAAAGGCATGAGGAGGATCAGTGCCCAGCGGCACTTCACTCGGCCTGATATCTACATTAGGCGAGGAGGTCCCTCATCCAGCTCCTCTTCAGTCTCCCACAGACGTTACCTGGCATATTCGTAGTGGCCATGTCATTTATAAGTGTATTAGGATGTCCTTGTAAGTTGTCATGGAATCCTTTGTAATGAGTTCGTATGTGTTCGTTAACAGTCGGCATGAACATGTAATATAAATTGTAAATAATAACTCATTAAAAAAGAGGATGAAATGCTAAACGTTTCCTTTGCATATAGTTATATGCATATGCAGGTCCAATTTTTAGTTTCTGAGATATTTTAATCCATATCTTCAATAAAACTCGTCATCATTTGGTTTTCGACTCTATTTTTCTCTTTTCGCCTCTCTAACACGGCTTCGCGTTAAGATACAATTTTGAATAATATTCCATTACAGAGATGATAAAATGATGAGCATTTCCATTGCTTACAGTATGCAGGCCCGATTTTAAGTTTTTGAGATATTTCAATGCACATGAAAAAACACTTCAATTAGTCGACTTCAGCCGACTTACACGAGCGTTACGCATCGGAAATCTGACGGCTCAATCTAATTCACTTTCTACAAAAAAAAAGTGCAAAACGCTCCTAAAGAAGTTTTCACGTAAAAAAATAAAAATAAAATAATTCCTAAAATATTAATAATACCCATGCTGCTTCGGCGCCTTCAATTGTTACAAACACTACACCGCACAACATTTGGACATATTTTCAGTAAGCAAATTATTATACTCTAAGATAATTATTATGCTCTAATCTTTCAAAAATCTTTCTTTTCATTCAAATTATATATTTAATTATTTGTAAAATAATTAAATATCTTAAATATTCTTAAGATTTTTAGATCTGTATAGTAAAAAATTGACATCCGGAGACGCTATATCCTTTTCAAATCTATATAGCCTTTTTATACAAATAATAACTTATTTTATAAAAATATCCAGTTCAGATTAGGATGGTTGCGATTTTATCATATTTTGTTAAGATATGATGATGTGAAATTAAGTTTAACTTACCTCTACTATCGCTTCATGCCACCATAATACTTAAAATACTGTCATCCAATTTATCAATTACCGATAGTATGAAACATTATTATTTTTTTGTTTAGAATTTTAAAACAATACTGAGAAAAATTTTCTAAATTTTGTACAGTCTGCCTCCACATGTTTTCTGTTTAATTCATGTTCCCTTTGCGAAAAATTCTACATCGAAGATTCTTCTATTCGATCGTCTTCTTCTCCAGTAAAAACTAACTTGACTTCACTTAAATAAATTAATATTTTTTGATAAATGTAATAATACTAAATCGTTATCAGTGGAATAGAAACTATATAGAGGAAGGAATAAAAAATACTTTATTCATTTTAAAGGAGAAAAGGGTGTGAAATAGGTAATATGAATAAATACTTCAACTACTGTCTTTTTTTGTATTTTCTAAAATTTTATTAGTTTTTTTGTATTTTTTTATTTACAAACTACGACTTAACATCTAGTGATTACATGATTGAATAAAACTTTAAAATAGCTACTTGATCTACCAACCTACAGTATAAATTTATTTGATATAAGAACATTAAATAAAATATATTTTAGTTAAAAGAAATGGGTAAAAAGAAAGGTAATATCAGGAATATATTTTATTACAATAATGCAATAATTAAATTCTATAAGATATATGAATAAACAAATAAATTCACTAAACTGAAAGTAACAGCTAAACTAAAGAAATAAAACCACTAAACTAAAAGCAGGAATTAAAACTAAGGAAACAAAACCACCAAACTAAAAGGAACAGTTACAACAAAGAAATAAAACCACTAAACTAAAAGGAACAGTTACAACTTAGAAATAAAACCACTAAACTAAAAGGAACGGCTAAAACTAATTTAATTACCGTTATTGTAAATGATTATTTGCTTCGCTGCTTTTTGACTGTTCTTTTGTATATGAGTTTTCCTCCTAAATCCTATTTCACGAATAACTTTAATTAAAATTCAAATAAATTTGTATATATTATAAGTTAAAATAAATATTATTTCAATTTATTTATTTATATATGTAGGATGTCATAAAATTTGCATAAAACAATTTTTGGTTTCCAAACATTTCTTATGTGTAATCCTATTGACAATGTTATAACGTTTTTATTAAATTACATATTAAAGTAATTATTGCAATTTATATAAACAAATTAAAAATAAAAATCCAAAAGTAATATTATAATTTCGATTCTATTCTTTTTCCATATAGATTAATTCCATAGTTAAATTAAATTAATAAATGAATACATATATTAAAAATTATTTATATAGATTAGAATTTTGAAAATACAAGCGTTAAAATGTGTAACTGTTTTTTTTTTTGCATTTTCTAAAATTTTATTAGTTTTTTGTATTTTTTTACTTACAAACTACGACTTAACATCTAGTGATTACATGATTGAATAAAACTTTAAAATAGCTACTTGATCTACCAACCTACAGTATAAATTTATTTGATATAAGAACATTAAATAAAATATATTTTAGTTAAAAGAAATGGGTAAAAAGGAAGGTAACATCAGGAATATATTTTATTACAATAATGCAATAATTAAATTCTATAAGCTATATGAATAAACAAATAAATTCACTAAACTGAAAGTAACAGCTAAAACTAAAGAAATAAAACCACTAAACTAAAAGCAGGAATTAAAACTAAGGAAACAAAACCACCAAACTAAAAGGAACAGTTACAACAAAGAAATAAAACCACTAAACTAAAAGGAACAGTTACAACTTAGAAATAAAACCACTAAACTAAAAGGAACGGTTAAAACTAATTTAATTACCGTTATTGTAAATGATTATTTGCTTCGCTGCTTTTTGACTGTTCTTTTGTATATGAGTTTTCCTCCTAAATCCTATTTCACGAATAACTTTAATTAAAATTCAAATAAATTTGTATATATTATAAGTTAAAATAAATATTATGGCATTTTATTTATTTATATTTGTAAGATGTCATAAAATTTGCATTAAACAATTTTTGGTTTCCAAACATTTCTTATGTGTAATCCTATTGACAATGTTATAACGTTTTTATTAAATTACATATTAAAGTAATTATTGCAATTTATATAAACAAATTAAAAATAAAAATCCAAAAGTAATATTATAATTTCGATTCTATTCTTTTTCCATATAGATTAATTCCATAGTTAAATTAAATTAATAAATGAATACATATATTAAAAATTATTTATATAGATTAGAATTTTGAAAATACAAGCGTTAAAATGTAAGCAGGATTTAAATTATTGCATTGCGAAATCAATTACAAATAATCTGATAACAATAACGTGCAAATTAGCAAACATTCGTTCCATTAGTATATCTAATATAAGCTATTTATGATATAATATAATATTTAATAATAATACTAAACTAAATACTTAATATCAATAAAGAAATGTTAAAATAAGAGAAAATTGTTAAAATACTTAAGCTATTTTTCTAAGCAACTTAATTAATTTCTTAATTATGCTACTTAAAAAAATAATTAGGTAATTTTTTAATAAGGATAAAACTACACTCCAGAAATTCTTTTTTTTTATATCAATAACTTTTAATTTTATGATTATCTTTTATTATTAAAGTTTCACTTCATACATTATTAAAATTCAATCAATATTATTTGGAATTAAATTATTTTATTTAAGAAATTTCAGTCAATTTATATTGTTATGGCTTGTTCAATTGTTGCTATTATTAAAATAAAAATATGTGTATGAATTTATTGCATTAATTCGTATATCTTCAAATATAATAATATTTGTTTATCCTATATTAAAAAATTACTCTTTTTTTTTTATTTTATTTTTTTTTTCAGCCAGTTTTAATGAACGGTAATTTTGTAACTGGCTAGCATTAATATTGTGTGGATTATTTTTTATTTTCTGATCAGCAAATTTTAAACTATTATAGGCCAAAAAGTTGTGAGACTAATTACAATATTACTGGTTGAAAATTATAAGGCAGAATATCAAAGAGAGCTTATTAAGATTAAAGGTATTTTTGAGCTATGAGTTCCAAAATATATATAAATTTAAAATATGAAATAATTTTGAAATAGATATCCGGAATTATTTTTGAAAAGGAGAAAACATGAAGAAACTTTTTTCCTTGATATTTGTCCGAAAGTGTAAGCCATTTTTCTTCACCATGATAAGAGTCCAAAGCCATTTCCAAAAATCTTCAATCACAACCTAGCACGCACCTAAAATAAACAAGATGGTATTAGATGAAGTAAACCAACTTTCATTAGAAATAATTCATTGATATTTTTTCAATCGTTAATGATATTGCTTTTTTCTTTTTTAAAAATATTTTTGAAGGCTTAATGCAAAAAATAATATGAAACGGACCGTAAATAGCCATTTAATGTTGAGTCCATACCTAATCAACGAAAAAAGTTTCATCAAGCTATCATTGTATTCTCCCAATAAATGTTGAAGCCGGTGTCAACATTATAATATATATAGTCTTCAACATATATACATATATATTTAGTTTAATCCTTGTTTGAGCGCATTATGTCTTTTCTAGAATTTAGATTTATCTTTTGTCAAAAGGGAAAAAATGCAGGAAAAGGAAAAGGAAGTGGCTAGAAGTCGAAGTCCAGTTTGTCATCGATGGTCATATCTCTGACCTCTTGGACGATATGCTCCAAGTCCGGAAATGGAAGGAGTTCGTTGATGGAATCGAACAGAGACACATCGAGATCTAACTGGCTTAGAGATTCAGAGGTCTCATTATTCTCTGGGATTTCCCTGAAAATTATGGAGCATGTAACGCATTACACGTTGATAAAAAAAAAAAAAAATTCCAAAAGAAAAACGCTGCAAATTATTTCACAAGGCTTTATTATTTCCTAACAAATATATATCTAAAGTAACATTATTTGCCTAGTAACACAGAAAAATTAACAAAAGGTGATTCCAATTATTGGAATAAACATTTTTTTTTAATCATTAGTAATTTTCTAAAAAAAAAGCATTACTGCAGTAACACATTCAAAAATCAAAAACCAAAACAAAGGATATAACCTTTGCAGTAAAACATATAAAAAACATCTAGAGACTGTATCTTTGCTCCTAATTGTCAAATTTTAACAATTTTTTTTTTTAGGATATTTCGTAAACTTTTAAAAACCATACAAATTTTATATTTTTTGTGTTATTCGAAATCTAATTTTATCATCCCTCGTAACTTATTTTCCAGCTTCTTTTCGTTGAAGTATGTTGTATAAATAAATTTAAAGGGCATTGAGAAGACTTAGGTGAAATTTCATTGAAATCGGTACATTCGTTTAGGCGCTACAATCTGTAGCAACACAGTTTTTTCAGTCGCCATTTTGAAGGGAAAAGGCGGATAGTAATGTAGATGAAGGAGGGTCATCTTCGGGTGACCTTTAATTTTACATCCAAATTTGAAAAAAATCGGTCCAGTAGTTCAGAGAAAATGCGCAGACAAATTAAAAATTTATTGCTTTTTCGAATTCTACGTATCGTGGAACGTAAATCCTCAAATTTTGAGAGGGGTTTAAGTTTATGAATTTTTGTTCGATCACTTGTTTCAATAATGAACCAAAAAATGTAAAATATATTCACATTATTTAATTGATTTCACCATGTTCAAATATTTGTATTACCAATTAAAAAAAAAAATAATGCAATTTTATAGTTTGAAAACATTGTGTATACAATGTATGTATCAGAAAAAAAAAAAAAGGAAAAACTAGTTTGTTTCAACTTATTACAGGAAGTTACATGAAAACGGCGGTTTCAAAGAAAATTATTTTTATACTACTTATGTCAATTAAAACATGTTTAATAGGACGAAGGTGTATATTTTTCACTTTAATTTATGATTAAAATATAATTATCTGTACTACTTATAAATTTATTTATCGAATTTGCCAACTCATTGAGTAATATTGACAACCGATTGGCTAAATCAAAACAATTTTTTTTTTTTTAAATTTAGTTTTAAATAAAATATTTATTATGTATTATGTTAATGCCAGAGCTAGCTAGTTATTTCATTTTGGTTAAATTTTATAGAAAATAATACATCCCAGGTAATAAGAAAGAAAAGAAATAAAAGCTTTGTAACTATTTATCATAGTAATTTTTGTTGGAAATACTGGTACTTTAAGGTGACGACATAAAATCACATAATTTTTTACATAACTAGACGTTAATCTCAGGTTTAAAAAAAAATAAAATTCAAATTAATTGATATGAACTAAAAGCTTATTAAATAAGGAAGTTTTTTTTTAAAGGAAAGTATTTGTAGTATAATGAAGAGAACGATAGTTGGGGTGATCGGTCAAAATTAAAATGGCAAAAATAAATAATAATATTCATTTTAACATTATCCGACGTTTCGACCCGAAGTTCAGGCCTTCATCAGGGCTGAGAAAAGATTATTTTCATTTATCACTTTCTTTAACATGTAGTATAGGGGGAGGGAATAATTTACGATTTCTTTAAAAGATGAACTTAACTGAGATTAGCCATTGAAAAGTCCCTCATTAAATGGCTTTAACAATGACAAACTCTATTTTTCCTTAATGAAAATTTTCTCTAGCTTACAGTGAAGAAATTGTTAATTACTAAAATGAATTATTTTTTATTTATCACTTTATTTTCAACAAAAAAACGGACTTACTTATAAAACCTCAAAACTTGAATTTTCTACTTCCCCGCTGAAAATCGGCCCATTATTAATATAAAAATTTGCTCTTGAGATCTGACGATCCTTCTTTTAAATATTTTCCTCTAATTGCAAGACACCCTGCACATCTATCTTTATAATTAATAAAATAAATTAATAATAATTTAGAAATAAAAATAGTTAGAATTTTTTTTTGTATAGGATGTATTACTATCTATTAACAATTTTGAGTAACATAAAATAACCATGCACTATTTAAAATGATACTAGCATGCTTTTTATGAAATTTATAAAATTTATAGCATGGATATGTTGTAGGTAGTATTCAGGTCTGAGTAGTCTCAATTAATAAAATAATTTATTATTAAATTATCCAAATTTTTTTATCTTCAGGCAACTTCAAGGATACAATCTAATTTTAAAACATGTTGTTATTTTTCATTTGCGTAAAGTCTTCTAGAACTGATAATATTTTAATATCAGATTGTACCCCTAGGATGGCTGAAGAGGAGAAAATTGGGATAAGTTTACAATAAATTATTTTTTTAATTGTTACTACTTAGTTTCTACTATTTATACTTAATTAAGTCCCTCTCATGTTATTCTCATTAACAAATAAATATGCAATAAAATATAAATAACATGGATCTATGAATTCAAGAAAAAAGTAGTGACGTGAAAAACGCGAGTGCATCTATGCGAAACATTAGTAAAAAAATATAAAGGAAAAATATTTTTAAAAAAATCTGGTACGGTGCGAGCATCACACAACTTTCACTTTAGAGTAGATAGGTATTTTCTTTTAGGCAGTCGAACTGAAAAAATTACCATGTTTTTCTTGCATTGAATAAGTTAAATTTGTACATTTTCTGTTAAATTTCCATTCCCTTTTACAATTGTATATAGTATCAAACAATACTAATGATTGTGAAGAAAATAGATCTTTTGGAAAAATTCTGAGTTTTATAGGAAACAGTTATTATGGGACTCGTCGACAAAATAAACTTAACGTTATTAAATATTGCATATTATAAGACTTATATTAGTAAATGTTAGACTTATATTAGTAAATACTCAACATTTAGCATGAAAACCTTTTTTAAAAAATTATGGATACGAGCCCTGTGCAGTATCTGAATGGGAGAGGATCGGCAAAGTTCGGGCACTCTCGGTTAAACAGTCGAGCTTTCTTCATAGATCTTTCTAATACTGTATAGATTTCTACTCTTACTTCCCCTTTAGTTACCAATAAAATTATTTCATTCACTATATTTAATCATTTTGTATTGCAGATTCAAATGTGAAATGGGTTATTATTTCATATAAAAAGAAATAAATTGGTTGCATCAACGAAGATAACACCTACCTTAAATTAAAACCACTTAATATTATACTACCTTAGTGTTGTCCAAATGCGAGACCGAGAGGAGTGTTGGTCTTGCAAACTCAGTCTCGGTCATGGTCTTGGTCTTGCACAAGAGTCTTGCAGTTACTTATTAGCTTATGACTATAGAGATAGTACTGTAATTTTTAGTTAGGAGAAACGTAAGTAAACGAAAAATTAGAGCAGTTAAATTCAAAGTATATTGGTTATACCAATTATTTACATATAGTAAATAAGATTGTCAAGGATTTATATTGTAACTATTTTGCATTAATTTTTTTTTACCAGTCCTGCTCTTGGTCTTGCAAGACCAAGACCGATTTCGGGCAACACTACACTTCCCTAGTGAGTTTAATTAAAATCGTTTTTGAGAAAACTGTAAAAATGTGTTAACTCGATTTTCACGAAAATATTGCTGTAACATTTTAGGAATATAAAAACCTTTGATATGTAATTTCATTTTCTTTTTTGAGCTAGGCTATTCACATACATCCTCACACACAGACCATTTAGTTGGGCTTGGGTATTTGGACTGAGGGAACCTCAATACATGTATTTCCTTTGAAAACTCAGATTCGAAAATTTCCAGTTTCGCTATACTTACCCTTACTTAAAAATACATATCTTGGTAAGTGGGAGTAAAAATTTGGATAGGAATCTAGCATAATAAATAATTTAGAAATGACTAGTTCTATTGCATTTCCGACATTGTAAAACTCTTCTGGTCGAACTTTGATTGCAACTTTGTAATGGGATCCATAATGTCTATATTTCTAATTAAGGTTGGTTTTGAAATCTGGCTTTAGTTTTGTGTTAAGTTAATTAGTTAATGGAAGATGGCGCATGCGAATTATGTTTTTATGAATAGAATAAAATTATTTCAATACTCACAGAAAATTCCTGGGCTCTTGGAGTTGCCTGCTGACGAACTGGGGAAACTGCTGCCTGATTTCTGCGGCGGCGGGCATGACTTCCATCTGGGTTTCTTGCGGCGGTGGAGGGTCCCTGTGCGGCTGCTCCGGGATCTGGGGCGGCTCTGGCAGGCTCTGCGGCAGAGGCTGCGGCTCGCTGATTGTCAGGTCTTGCAGCAAGGTCCTGAAGTCGAAGGCGAAATATTAATTGTGAAAAAAAAACTAAGGTGTGTGCTTTAGATCGTGAGATAGAAGTGAAAATATCAAAAAGGCGAGATTAATAATAATAAAATATAAGTTATAAATAATAGCTTATTATAAAGAGGATGAAATGCTGAACATTTCCCTCGGTCACAATTAGGAAGATCTGGTTTTTATTTTCAGAGATATTTTAATCTATATCTTCAATAAAGCTCAATATGATTTGGTTTACGACAAATTGTTTTCCCTTTTGGCCACTTTAACATGGCGTCGCGTTAAGATACTCTTTGGAATAAATAACCCGAAAGTGATGGACATTTCCTCGCTTATCCAACATGCAACATGCAACATGCAGGCCCAATTTTTAGTTTTTGAGATATTTTAATCCATTTGCAAAAACACTTTACCCGAGCGTTACACATCGGAAATCTCAATTTAATTTTCTCTCCACAGAAAAAAGTGCAAATCTCGCCTGAAGAAGTTTTCATTCCCCCCCCCCCCTCCCAAAAAAAATGTTCTTATTTACGTTCGATCTAGTTGTACCTATAATTGTCACTGTCCTTCAGAGATTGAAACCTGTACCACTACAGTTCAAGAATGATCTTGGTTTCAGTATTTAAGTTGTGCAAGAAGGTGTGCCAAGACCATGCTCAACCGTGAGGTTTCCTCTTTTAATTATATTAATTATCGGGCTTAAGAACGCATCAAAATCTTCAAGTTCCAATTTGTTCCGTATCGATCTACAGACCTACGACCGTTCCAGTATTGAAGCCTAGCGAAATGTTTGTATCGACTTTATTTGTTTTAGAAAGAAAAACAAAAGTGGAGAATACGATTCGCTAACCCCCCGTGAAATTCTAAAACCAACGGTACTTCATTCATGGTATTTGAGCATGGCAGAAGCTTATATTTGATACATAACCGATTTCGAGCCTTATTGTAATAATATATGTGTTGGGATGTGGATGTGGATATATATATATATATATATATATATATATATATATATATATATATATATATATATATATATATATATATGTGTGTGTGTGTATATAGATTACTGGTATAAGGAAGACTAGAGGCACTTACTCCGGTAGCAGATGATCCAGCGTTCTGACCCTTTCCGAAGCGGACGCGCTCAGCGTAAGACTCGGCGACCTTCTCGAGGGCTGATCCGGGCCGAAGGGGTTCCTGGCGAACTGCGGCCGGTCCTGCTGATCCTGACCCGGCATCATCTCTTCCAGGTTCCTCATGAGGGAGTTGATCATCGTGTCCGTCTCGTCGTCTGGAGAGGTCTGTGGGGGCGGACTCGTCGACGGAGCTGTCGAGACTGACAGGAAGCTCAGCTCTCTCCTAATGTCATGTGTCAACATCAAGATCATTTATTGACATGTTCCATTTCAATAAGGCAGTTGACAAAGTGTAAGTAAACATAAGACCTTTTAATTAGTTCAATTCAAGGGGGCGGGGAAGCCGAGCGGGCTAAAGCGTGTGCACAGCACCGCCATTGCTGGCATATGAATCTAATGATATAAAATAGTCACGAGTTCGCGTCCCGGTGCCGAGGGAGTCTTTTAAATAACCGCCCACACTCCCTGGCCCGGGAAAACCCCGTATAGCCTTAACGGCGAGGAAGGGGAGGACCCCCCCAAAAAAAAGTTCGCGTCCTGGTGCCTGGTTTTTTTTTTTAATTCTCTGCCATCCCTCCTTGGCCCTGGAAAACCCCCGTATAGCCTTAACGGCGAGGAATGGGAGGACCCAAAAAAATAAAAAATGAAGTTTAACGCTAGTGATTGGTTCTTAATCTATTCCGATAACGATGCCAAAATACCAAATGAGAACTTATCATTCAAGATCGGGACACTGCAATTTTAACGCTATGGATAAAAGTTTTGCAAAATAGAACTTGTTTGAGTAAAAATGATAAAAGTTTTTCTATCAAAAAATAAATATTTGGTAACTGGCAATCCATGTCTAATGAGAGCCCACCAAAGCAATTAAAACATATTTCATTAAAAATAGAAAATTAAATAGTACTTGCTTTGACAAATCTTAAGGCCAATTCATGTGGAATAAGTGCCCTATAATCAAATTAAAAGATCATTAAGGGATTAGAAAATATCAAATCGCTCTATTTGCAGAGAAGAGGTTGAGAATAGGGTATGCCAATCAGATTTATTTCTATCTCAATAGCAAGAATCCACCATCAGAATACCTACACCGCAATAATAAAATTATATGAGAATGTTTATTTTACATTTAAAAACTAGTCCTGAACTACCCCTGAACTAGTCCACAACCCCAATATCGAAAATTCTACAAAATGACAAAGACTCAATAGAAATGGTATTACACCTGCTGAAATTAAACAATTAGTTAAGTAAAATTGAAGTTTTCTTTTCTTTATTTATTAATTTTTTTTTTTAATTCAAAAATTATGCAGGCATTGATGACCTCGTGGCCTTAAAGCCCTGATAAAGAACAAAGTGCATATTTACGATTTTATTTAATTTAAATGATATCATTACCTTACCTTTTTTACATACTTTGCAAGACCTAAAACATTAAATAAAAAATTTTACCACTTTTCAATGTCTTAAAGAGTATTAACAATATCGATATTTCTTTTGGTTTTAATGAGGCACTAATAAAGATTATTATTTGTTTTCTATACTTCAGAAGTTTTCTTGTTAAAAATATATTAAAAATATAAACCAAAAAAGAACATATAAAATTACGATTAACCTCCTATTAATCATTATGGGATAATTATTGAAGTTATAATCAAAATATATTTCATTAATTTAGCAAATTACTGAGCCTTAAAATAAGAAAACATCATCTCATGTATATTTCTCAAAGAACAATTAAGGTTGATTGTTAAACTATGCAATTTGTAGACATTTGCAACCATACAATCAATGACACACACACATACACACACACATATATATATAAATATATATTGCTTACGTAATATTTAAAGTAAAATTATTATTCAGCTAGTAGTAGGTATGTTTCCTTACCTGGTATTCTGATTCGCTTCCGATAATTGATTCCATTCCTGAAAAGCGTCCATTATCCTGTAAAATAAAAAAAAAAATAAAAAAATAATAAACTTTTATGGGTCAATAAACTAACTGTTAAACAAGCAGTAAATTAAAAAATAGCATAGTTTTAATTTATTGACTTATTACTTAAGGACAAGAGCTATAAATGCTATATACAACTAACCATAAAATTAATAATATTAAAGGTTAAAGATATATTTTAAAGTGAAACAAAGAGAGTTAAACCATTAATACTAGTTAAACCCAAGGTTCAATACTAGCCCCTCTACTTTACGTTATATACACTTACGATATACCTATTGACGATGAGATCTTGACAGCTACATATGCAGACGATACAACAATCCTCACAAAACATCAAGACCCTACACAGGCCTCACTAACTCTACAACATCATTTGCTTAAACTAAAAAATTGGTCCACACTATGGAAAATTCGACTTAATCATGACAAATCCAAACATATAACATTTACTCTACGAAAAAACACCTGCCCTCCAGTTTATATTGACAACAATCAAATTCCTCAAACGGACACGGTACTTTACCTTGGACTCACCTTCGACAGAAGGATGACATCGGGCCCACATGTTAAAATGAAGCGTATGACACTTCACAAACGACTCAAACTACTTTACTCTCTTTTTGCCAAATCTTCAAAACTAAAACTAAAACAGAAACTGAATACATATACATACTTACTTAAGCCCATATGGACATACTCATCACAAATATACGGCATCGCTAAAAAGACCCACCTACAAAAACTTCAAACGTTCCTATCAAAATTATTGCGACTCCTAACAGAAGCACCTTGGTACGTGACTAACAAAACTCTACATACTGACCTCCACTTTCCAACAGTTGACCAACATATAACGACCCTATATCAACGATTTTACACAAATTTAAATAGACATAATAACAGACTTATAAGAGACATGGCCACAGCTGACATACCTCAGAACATGAGCAGGAGACTAAAAAGGCGTTGGATGAGGGATCTCCTTCCTTAGACAACCTAAGTAATTGAACAAGTTAGGGAAGAGGTACTGCTGAGTACTTTCCTTCCCCATGCCTGTCATGTCATTTTATCATTATCGCCATCACATTTGCTGATTGTCAACTTATTGTTGACAGGCGCAAATATATATTTTATAGACAAAAAAAAAAAAACCATTATGATTTTTTTTTTCATTGGTCCATTTTTGTTACTTGAGCGATATGAGTTAAATAATTAAGACAGCCACAATATATTCAGTTTTAAAAATAATATAGCATATTCTATATATAAAAATTACCCCTAAAAGTGTTATTTTTCATATATTTTCAATTTGTTTAATTGGACTTTAATATCTATTTCATAAAGTTAATTAGTTTCTTCCTTTTCTTTCGAAGGAAGAAAAGGAAGAAACTTATATATATATATATATAATATATATATATATAATATATATATATATATATATATATATATATATATATATATATATATATATATATATTTTATATTTGTGTGTGTGTATTTTATACATAAAATAACAAACAATAAAATAAAAATACTCACGGCGTCGTCTGTTGTGCTCTCGGCCTCAACGGACTGAGACCCGTATGATTGTTCTGCGCTGGTGGAGATTGAGTTGACAAACTGTAAATATAATATAAATAATTAATCATATATTACTAATAATAATTAAATAATAACAATGATCACAGGTAATTAGGTTATCAAGAGTGTTAAGAAAGGTAATCGTTAAAATGTGAGAGAAAATGTTGAGTTTTCAGCTCCGATAAGCGATTACTCCCAAACTGTTGGTTTTTAAAATTAGTTATTTTTTTCAAAACGACTTAAAAATCAACGTTTCTCAAAATAATAACTTTCTGTGGAATTTGATGTTTACAAACCATTTTGAAAAATCAGATAAAACTGTGACAATTAACCAAATATAGTGTATTTGATCTATCGAGTCAATACTGGTCCAAGCAAAATTTCATTCTCTATAGTATTTGTTTCAATCAGTTTGTTGAAAAAAGTTAATAGTAAAAAATCATAAAAAAATCTTCAAGAAGTAATTATTGAATAGATTTATTCATGTAATTAAATAACTGTATTAGTGACCAAAAGAAATCTACGGATTAAATAAAGTTTGAAATGTTAAACAAATGTTTATGTACACTTTAATTATTGAATGATAGTGGAAGTTCAATAATAAGAAATAATGCCTATAAAATTAATAGTTACTAAATTATGTGTAACGTCATAATAAATTATATTTATGACAGAATGATTTTTAAACAATTGGAAACATTAATGTAGTACTTAAAATATTTTTTAAAGACTTTTTAATTTTGGGAACATTTAAATCATACAACCTCTTTCATCATTATAAATTATTTTAGCATAATATAACTATAAAAGTTATCTTATATATAATAGTTAATATTTCTTACGATTGGTTCATGTTCTTGGACTGCTGCTGGCTGAATGTCCATTGGTTCCCCTGACGTTCCCTAAAAATATTAGGAAATTAAATTTATGTATGTATAAAAAATATAACTAACATAAATAGTTAAAAAGTTGTGAATATTATCAATGTAAACAAATCATAAAATTAGAAAGCATTGTACTTTCATAAATCAGAAATTTACTTGATAAATTGGTAATATATTTTATTTTTTTATTTCTTAATATAAAAATTCAATTATTTCGTATTTTACCAATTTAAAAAAGAAAATGTTTGCTGATTATTTATTTGTTTTATTTTTACTATTTTAAATTAAATATCCTAAAATTATTTTCTATTAAAATGGAAAAGAACATTACGTTTGAATATATAGTTATTTACCTATAGTAACTTTTATTCGGGGATAATTACTAAATTTTGCCGAAAATTTTACATACATCTACTTTATGTATTCAATCGAAACCCCATAAAAAAATTTGGTTAACCTAGAAAATTCATAACCCCTTTCATGTAAAAATTTTAATGGCTCCAATTGGCCCTAATTATCAGTTCATAAAACTGCATGAAGAAAAAATATTAAAAGTTCATATTAAAAATATTTTACTAGAAAAAAAGCTATATTTTATTAATTTTCTAAACATTGTAAATTAATGGATGATAAATATTCAGGATGCAGTCTTTTTTAAACAAAAAAAAAATTTTTATTTATGCCAACGTTTCAACCCAACCATGTGTGTCATCTTCAGGGCTGACAATTTTTTAAAAATACAATCAGAGATATAATACGACCGATAATGGTAAATAATAAACTATAGTGATTGATGGTAAATGAATCTTAACTAATATTACAATACACATATTAAAAATGAAATATTTAAATAGTTATACAAACTAAAAATTAAAAATAATGTATGTAATTCATTTATACAAATTTGTAATATTTTCACTAACTAACCGTGGTTTGAGCACTGAGGGTGTTCAAGTACTGACACATTTGGTAGGTAAGTGAAAAGGTCAGGGCGATCATTCAATCACTATAGTTTATTATTTACCATTATCGGACGTATAATATTATATCTCTCATTGTATTTTTAAAATATTTCAGCCCTGAAGATGACCCACATGTTTGGGTTGAAACGTTGACATAAATAAAAAATAATTATCACCACATTCTGAATATCATCACCCATGATGTATAGAACAGTCGACTAACTTCCTTCAATAATTTGTTATAAATTCATGTCTATTTATTTGTTTTTATTTTTTTTTAAATTAAGTCATATTTGATAATGTACATTAAATAAAGAACCATAATATTATATTAATAATAAATTTAATAATATAAATAAACATGAATAAAATATAATAAAAATATAAAATATACTATTCAAAATAATCAATAGCTTACCGGTACCGGGACTGCCCACGGGGACGGCCTCGCTTGGGAGTAGTAGTATTCGATGGTATGCTGAAAAAATAATTAATTTACAATATTTATTATAACCCTTATAATATAATTAAATAAATAAAATAAATAATAAAGAGGTACTCTTTCCTGCGCATAATTCTATTAATTTAAATATTACTATTTGCTTTAAAATAACATGATTATTATTATAAACTGTTGTTCAATTCAGGCGGTAGTTCCTCAAGGGAGCGTCTTGGGTCCTATCCTTTATATTCTATTTACCGCTGATATTCCTACTCATCCCGAAACCCTCCTGGCAACATTCGCTGATGACACAGCCATCCTATCTTCCAATCCAGATCCCTAAAAAGCATCCTTTAACCTACAAAGTCAACTCTCTCTTATTGAACACAGGTGTAATAAGTGGCGCATCCAATTAAATGAATCCAAATCCAAACACCACCTTCACGCCTGTAATTCCTGTACAACAGTCTATTTCAAATCCATACCACTTCCCCTCTCTGAAGACTAACATGGAATCCACATACCAGACTTAAAAGATAACAGCTTAACCGACGATATGACCAACTATATAGACTGCTCAATAGAAAATCTCAACTTTCTGTTGACAACAAACTATTAATCTACAAGACAATCCTGAAACCTATCTGAACCGATGGACTCAAACTGTGGGGGACAGCAAAACTTTCTAACATCAAACGCATGAAGTCTAAATCTCTTCGAAAAATAGTCGATGCTCCCTTTTATGTAACCAATATAACTCTACATAATGACCTTAATATCCCATTTGTACTTGACCTAAACCCAGACAAATTTTCCAAATTTCACCAGAATTTCATCATCCTAATCCTTAACCACAGTTTCTATCTAGCTCCAGTTATCCCTAAAATCCTCCTCTGAGGTTAAAACGGTAGTTGCCCCGCGACCTTTTGTAAAAATGAATATAATGGAGTACTGCCACTGGCCAGATTCTTCACTCAAGTCCTGAGCGTCTGTTGCTATAGTGCCCTCAATCAGTCTCAATCGGCTTCCAATACCAGTGACGCGGCTGGAAGAGAAGCACTGGGATCTCCTGGAGTCCTGCTTTGGCTTCCACAATTGGGGGACAAAGCTTGGTTCAGGGTCGCCTTGGCAAATGTAAATATTGTACATAGATGTGAATGTGTTTTATTTATTTCATTATCATTCGGACTTAATTTGTTATTTTACTTATCTTGTATATTATTTTATCTTATATATATATATATATATATATATATATATATATATTGTGTGAATGAAAACTATAGCCTTAGTACCAATGCCCTTCAGTGTGGCAGACAGTATTAATATTCAATAAAACAATAAAAAAAATATTATAAAAACATTGAAATTTACAAGAAAGGAAATTTAAAAAAATATCAATACCAATGATCTGTTTCAGAACCCACCAATTAGAAACTTTGAGATGCTTGCTATATATAGTATCTATGTATTTAAATGTCATAGATTAGTATTAGTTAAGTTTTGAGAAATGATATAATATCATGTACAAACGATGATGTTTTGATAAAATCGGAAACAAGATATAAAATGAAAGAAAAAATGCTGCTGCTTATTTAGTTTTTATATTTGATTGAATTTTCACAAGCAAGTTTTCTAGCTCCCGTGAACAAATACAAAAGTGGATATGGTGTTTTTTATCTCCAGGGTACAGAAAGGTATTAAGTAAAAAAAAAAAAATATATATATTAACGAAATTGAAATTTCAACACAAAAAAGGATATAAATATACAGATATTATAAATGATTAAAATATTATTTAAATTTTACTTACAAGTACGGTAAGTACCTCTCCGCCAGGCAGTCGCAAGTTCTGAAAAATGTTATTTTTTTTATGTATAGGTAAAACAATTCTTCTTAGTTTTTAAAAATTTTTACTCATTACGTTATCTTATGAAAAATAAAAAATAAAAACATATTGATAAATAAGGTATAATAACAAAAAAAATTAACTAAATGATAAATATGAATTTCAATTATATATAAAGGTACAAGGTGTTTCAGGATTTAGTGACGAAACTGAAAAAAATTACCTCTGAAGATATGTCCGCAAACGCTTTTTTTTTTAGGATTTTCTAACTACCTAAACATTTTCGTTGTTATGAATTAATTATTTTATATGAAAAAAATAAAACCTATTTATTTGTTCTAACTACTTTATTAATTGAATGCAAACATTAACATTCATATTAAATGTTGCTCTAAACGTCGAGACGTCACTAAAAATGCTAGATTCCGTCCACAATTCGGCTCTTAGAATCTACACACTTTGAATAACATTCAATATGAATTTAATGTTACGTTTAAGTAGTTAAAACAAATAAATAAATTAATAACTTCATAGAGTGTTTTTTCTTGTTTTGAGGTCCTTAATTCATATTTTCAGTTTGGTCACTTAACCCTAAAACACCCTTGCTCAAAATATAAGGATAAAAACTATCTTTAATCAAATATAATACTTAACATACGATTAAATATTATCAAGATGTTATATCATATTGCATATTATATATGATTTCTACAATCAACAATGCCACAAATCAGATATTTTAGTTACACTTAAAATACCATTGTTTCCGATTTATTAATTTGTGGAATTCTCTTCATATCAAAATTCGGCATTCCTCTCCATATCTAAAGTTAAATCCCTCTTATTCATGTCCCAAAAAGATACCCGCTAACCTTTTATGATTTGTTTACATATTATTCATCATTTAAATACTCAGACAATTTTTACTATCAGATTTTGCATTATTTTTTTTCCTGAAGAAAGAGAGAGTTTATTTTAAAGAAGAATTTAATGTATTTTTTATTTTTATTTTTCTAAAAGTGTATATGCATTTTTACCACTGTATATAGTTTTAAGTTTTTTGTATCTAGATTTTTTTATTTTGTATATAGTATGTTTAACTAATGTTTTCTTTACTTTTTTCTCTTTTCTGTTTTTGTTTTTATTTAGGCCAGATGTAATATTTTAATTTTGTACTATTCTGTTATTCTAAAGCGACTTTTTCCCAGAGTAAAATTATTTTCTCTTCTATTAGCTATAAATTAAATATTCATTTTAAAATTAATATTATTGGTTAAGCATTTACAAAATATAGAAAAAAAAGATAGTTGATTCCTGAAAAAAAATATTACTTTTGGAAATCATTAATGATGAATTTAATAAAATAAATTAAGAATTGTTAAAACTTCTAAAGGCTTACCGACATGAAGTTGGTTGTTCCTGGTCCTCTTGCCTCAGTGTGCTAAAAAAGAAATTTTCCATAAATTCAATAATAAATTATAATAAATCTATATTACAATAATTAAATAATACATATCAATGCATATTCAAATAAAACAATATGCATCTTTTAAAAATCGATAACAAATATCAAATAATGTAATATATTTTTAACCTAAATTTCCGTAGTTATTAAGTATATTATTATTTTTTTAGGGTATTTAGGAGTTGAAAAAATCTTAATACATAAAAAAATGTTACTGAAAAAATATAATATGTGTACTTTAGACCACACGATATAAGTGAAAATACCAACAAGGAGAGATGATGAACAATTCTCGCCCTAACAAAATACAGGTCCGATTTTAAATTTTTGAAATATTTTAATCCATATCTTCGTAATCGTTTGATTTTCGACACTATTTTTTCCATTTTCGCCTCGCTAACACGTCGTTGCGTTAAGATAAAATTTTGAATAGTAGCTCATTACAAAGCAGATGAAATGATAAACATTTCTCTCGCTTACAACATATAGATCCAAGTTTTAGTTTCTGAGATATTGTAATCCATGTGCAAAAACACTTCGTCAATTCTAGTCGACTCTACTTGATCGTTACACACCGGAGATCTGATGGTTATAGAAGTTTTCACTTCAATAAGCACTAATAGGATTCAATTAATATAAATTAAATTGATTAAGAATGAATTGAGCTCAATGCATTTTGAAGCGTATTATATTATTTGTCCAATAAAAAAAAAAATAAAAAAATGGACTCAATTAAAACTTAAATAATGCTTATAATGTTAAGGCAATTTTACTGTTGTTATTTATTAATGATTTATTGTTAGAAGATCTTTCTAGAAAAGAACTAAAAATTAAAAATGACATATGTGTGTATACATGCATACTTAATAGTTAATGAACTATGAGAAATGTCATATAAAAATAAAAAAAGGATTCACAAACAGTTGAAACATTCAAGTCATTAATAATTGTTTTATTTCATTTTTTTTTTTTACTTGATTATAATATTTCTTGAATGAACATTGAAATCGTACAGCGTTTATGAAAATAACTATTAAGTTGTTCTGAGGATATCAATTTTCATTTCTATAATTATATTTTAACATTATCTTAAGCCAGAATAATAAGCATGGAATTAACAACAAAAAATATATTCGAATGATTAGTTTATTAAAAACCATATTCATAATATCAAAAATTAAACTACTGGAACAAGACTTAAGTAATTTACCTGTTTGAGAATCAATATTAAAAAGAAGTCCCATTATTAAAAAAGGAAAAATATATATAAAGATATAATTAACAGAGAACTGGACAAGTAACCTCACTCTCATAACAATTGGAAAATTTATTGTTAAATATATTTAAATTGTCTGAAATAAATAAATTTGTATTTGCATGCATTTATAAATAAATTGACATATTACTCGTACGTGACACTCTGAATTTCTTGATTGACAACCATTTGCAATTAAAATATTTGATTTTAGATTGTGTTAATTTGAATAAAACTTAAACTTTTATAAGTTAAAATAATGATTTAGGTTAATGGCACAATTATGATTCGTTAGTAAAAATAATATTATAAAAATATCTTTCTTTTCCTTTTTTAACAAAGTTACTTTTATTCAATATAAAATACTTAATACCGGCTTTAAATAATATTTATAATAAAAAAATAATAAAAAAATGAACTCACTCTAACGATCTCCGAAGTGCCGACTACAGCCCTGAAATTAATTATTATAATTATTATTAATATAAAAATAAATTCAAAATTAATTAATTATATAATTACTTGATTATTATTTTTAAAATCCTCAATCTTATTTCGTTATTCAAATTTAAATGGATCATCTTCTTTTTTTTTGTTATCTTTAATTTTTATAATATTTAATAATGAAAATCAATTTAATAACTTTAGAAAATTATAGGTTATATTAAGTAAGACATATCTGACTGCTTAAACCTCTTAAAAATAATTCAAAAATCATTTTAATGAAAAAAATAGATTTCTTTGTCTGATAAATAAATCTATTTTAGTCGCTGAAATATCGGTGAGATTGAATTTTAGGCAATATTAAAAAAAAATATTTGAAGTAATTCGTTTTAACTTAAAATTTCTAATTTACTTAATTTTAGATTATTTTATTTTTTTATTGTACATAATTGTTTGATTATTATTAATTTATTATTTTACTTTTGTTACTTTTATGTTTTCTGTATATTTGGTGTGAATGTGTTCATATCTCACTATAATTATTGTCCACGGAACAGATTATTATATTTCTAAATAAATAAGAAATAAAATTCCTTAAACTTCATTTTCAGAATGAAATGGTTTTAAATTTAATACAAAAATTCTCTGTAATTAGATAATTTGCATGCATGACAATTTTATACACTCATTAATATTTTTCTTAAAGTGTTTTTCAAATAATAAATGTATTTCGTTATTGATAAAATCCAATATTTTAGTATATACATTTATAATATATTTTTTTTATTTGTTCTTAAATTTTAATTAACACATTTATAAAGCTTTTATTTAAAAAGACAGGAATGTTAATTTTACATCCATTGAATTTTAAAATAATATTATAATTACCCTTGATTCTGGAAAAAAATAAATATATATATACAAACTGGCATTGTTCTTTTAATTTGATCTTTTCACAAAATACGAATAGTTTTCATGAATTATCATTTAATCAATCTCAGGTTCATATTAACACATATAATGTTAATCTTGTTGGTTGGTGATTTGTGAAAAGTTAGTTTAGTTTATATAACACAAAAAAATTCAGAATTTACAAAAACTGAACTTACAAAACCAAAATGCATGCATTTAGTTAATTACATTAATTATTGATGATTAATTACAAATTATTTTGAACTTCAAATCCAAGTCTTTATTATCTGGAAAGTTATGGAACAGAGTTCTCATTTAGCTTATCTCAGTTGAAAATATGTTTATGATATTTTGTACTATCTTAACCTTGACAATAATCGCAGTATGGTTTTTAATTGGTACTTTCAGCTAAAAGGAAAATTATTAAAAGTAGGTTCAGATTAAATTTTACAACACAATAATGACTCTAATCCTGACATTACTCAACTATACTTCAAAGGTATTATAAATAAATAAACTATAAATTCACTCCATCTGCAATGATATAAATTCAGTCATCAATTCAAAATATAATTCAGAATAAAGAAACATGAATAGTCTAAGCCACGGAGAACAATATTCAAACATGAGAACAAACATAACCAAACATAAAACAGTCAGCTAACTTAGGGTAGCCAATTTAACGAAACCTTCGTTTTATCTTAATGTAACGGCCTATGCACTAGAAGAAGAAAACTGTACTATATGCAACCTATAAAAGCCAGAAAATCTATTTAATTTTTTAATAGAATGTACGATATGTATAAAGACTTGAGGGAACATTACATAGGGAAATAAATACATTATAGAAGACGAAAAATCAATGCTCGGTAATTTGTTAACGATGAAAAACCTCGCAAAGTTGAACGATATATTTTATTTTACAGTAGGGAGCCTTAAAATAAGATCATTCATTATTAATGATTAAATGCCAGCAATATTTATGTCTATGTTTATGTTTACCATATGACATTGTTATCTTCGACTAAGAAGCTGACCATATGTATTCTTGCAACCTGCTACATTGTATTATAGGAATATATTATTGCTATTTTTAAAATTCCTTTAATGTATATTTATTTGATTTTTTTTTATATATTTTAAAATTCAATACTTTTTATTTATATTTTTGTACAGTTGTTTTTCCTTTTCTGTTTTTTTTTTTTTTTTGTTCACCTTACAATTTATATATCTAGTTTATCTTATTTATGAAAAAAGAATATTTCTCCGATTTATTTCTATATTTGTATAGTACTTTATTTTGATTCTTTTTTATGTAATAATGTATTTGATGGAGCCAGACCTCCTGCAATTGTATATATTAATTACAAAATACAGAATTTCCATTCATTATTATTTTAATACCACGTTGAGGAATGCAGGCCGTGAACCTCAACCTCTTTTTATTTTAAACCTATAAATATTTTTTGAAAATTTTGAGTGGTTTGTCCACGATAAAAACATTTAAAAAAGTCGTATAGCATAGGTCGTTATAGCTATTCCCGCAGTTACAGAATGTGCCATTTCATAATGGCCAAATTCTGGGGGAGGGGGAGGGATACAAAGATGATTTTAGACAAAATATTCGAAAAAAATGTTCATTTGTGCAAGGGCTGATTCCGAACGCAAAAAGAGGTTTTTTTATTTAATAAGAAGGAATTGCTTAAAAACTGTTCAAGAGAATGAAATTCTAAGTAAGCTATCGTAAAGTAGACAAAATTTTGTCGAGAAAATTGTGATTAAATTTACTACGGCCAATCATAAAAGGGACTTTCAGGTCTAACAGAGTCGCTTTAGATAGATTTGCTACTCTTGTATGGGTACTTTAACAGCTGCAGTACAACGGCCGTATTAGACTTCATGAAAGTACCTTTTATCATTAGCATTAAAATTTAATCACTGTTCTCTCGAAAGAATTTTGTCTTTTTTACGATAGTGTAATTATAATTTAATTATCTTTAACAGTTTTTGAGAAATTTCTTCTTAATAAATAAAAAACTTGAACACCAAAAATCGTTCTTAATAGCTTTTCCGTTCGGACCCATGCATCAAATAAATGTTTTTTGTTAGAAATTTTGTCTAGAAATAAATTTAAAAAATAAATAAGATTAGGAGAATAGTTTTGTTTTACCAATAGCTGATTGATTTGAAATGTTTCTTTAGCTGACAGATATGACAAAAATGTTGTAATTAAGGGAAATTTCGTAATATTTAGTTTAGAATCAACAAAAAATACCTTTAACATATAATAAAACTAACTTTATTTCGTTTCCAAAATCTTAAATTTATCAATAAATGCTGGTCAAGGTCAAGAACCTGTTTTTGCTTTATATTTAATCCAAAACATTAGCATTTATTTTTTAACGAGACAGTAGTGAATGGTCCAATTTTTAAAACCCGTTATATTAAGTACACCACTTTGAATTTATGAGACCGTCTACTACTAGCAAAAGTTCCCATTATAAGGCTCCAATAGCTGACTTCTATTACATATACAATTCCTTCCTCAAGATAAGTTAAAAACAGATAAAATATACTTTAAAAACAATCCAAAAACTATCAAACATTTAGGGATTAATCTGAGTAATTAAAGAGGTAAAAAGCAAACCTGAAATATGGTACTCTCCCAGAGGGTCTTCCTTGGACACTAACTGGACCATGAGGTACTTCCTGATTTCTCACTCACTATTTCAGTTGCTATTTCCGGCAAGACTAAAGAAATACTGATAAAAATACAAGGAGAAAATACAGAAACTCAAAATATATGAAATAGAAGTCTAGGAAGTCCTGAAATGTTATGGTATGTATTGAACATAGCAAATAAAATTTTAAATTATTATGAGATGTCAAAAAAAAAAGTTGAATGAAACCGACTTCTGACAACAAAAACAGCGCCAAGAGGGTGGAGCAGGTAGATACCGACCTGTACCTGTACCCTGGGGAAGGCTTAGAGTTACGAGTTAAGTAACTGGTTCTTTTTAAGGTGTTACTAGTTATTGTGGTATAATAGGGTGAAGTTAAGAACCAATGAAAACCATCCTTGCCCCACCCTGAATATTTGTATAAAATCTACCTAGAAACAAGAAAAGGGGGGCTTATGTTGATTTCTCGCCTGGAGTATGGGTCTTATGTTTTCTTCCGGCTTGGGGACTGAAGCCTTGACTCGACATAGACCACACAGATGGGCGTCTTAGAGAAGTTTTTGGACCTGGCCTTGACGAGCGGATGCAGCGATGAAAAATGCCATTTCACATACCATAATAGCTAAGTTGTAATTCCCAATCCTAATGTTAAAATATTTCATGGCAATAATTCTCAAATAGTCCATCTATCTGAATTCAGAGTCGTTGGATTAAATTCATTGAATCATCTATATAATTCTTTATTTAAAAATAGATATAAATTAACTTGTTTAGTAAAAATTATTTTAATTCTGCCACCTATTTATATCATGATGATCACAGTTAATGTTGGTAATTGGAAAGCATGATAAACACAGACCAGCCTTTGAGAAAAGAAATCCAATTAATTAATCCTGGACCAATCAATATATTATAGATCCAAATCTGTTTAACTAATCTTGTATTAATTAAATTTTATTAAATAATTCTGGATAATTATCCTCAATAATTCTCCAGTGGCATCCCGAATAAATTTGAAACTCCCTAAAACATAGCAGTTATTATTCCCATTTTACGAGGAGATGTCAGGTATTGGTATCGGTGCTTTTATTCTAGTCAGTACTTCTCAGTCTAGTGAAGCATGAGACTTTTTGTAAGGACACTTCTGTGGAATCGGAAAATTAGAGTTGTCTGCTGTAAAAAATTCTGGGATCGCTAATTGAACATTGGAATACAAACACATCTCTTGTTTTCAGCCACTTCAACTACGGTTGCCTGGTGTATGGAGGGCTGTCCACAGGACTGGAGGCGAGAATGAAGAAAATTATGAATTGCTTCATAATATTCATCTTTGAATCATCATGATTCCCAAGCGTTCTCATGGTTTTAGTTGGTACACCGAGTCGAAGTGGCTTTATCCTACTTCCCAACGGCAATTCCTTCTTGATGCTTTTAATTTTCAAGTCCTCAGAATCGAAAACCCTCCCTACATCTTAGAACTCCTTGCTCGCTCCTCTGTCTACTCTCTCAACACCAGATCTCAACATATAGCTTTTTATATTCCCTCTCATAAAACTAATTCCTTCAGTAAATACTTCGCCATTAGTGCTACCACCTAATGGAACTCCTTATGTATCTTCATACGTCAAACGACGTCCATAAACTCCTTCAAATAACTCCTATTCCATCACTTACTACAACTTCAAACTTCCGCAGGCTTGTAAAAATTTTTGGGTTTTATAACTATCCAACACTGTCCTCACCACCTATGCCGATGATACGTGTATCCTATCAGTTATCCATCTATTGCATTCCTAACTCTCCAATCACACATCACAAGACTTGAAAAATAATGTCAAAACTGGAGGATTAAAATAAATTCCAATAAATCCCATCAGATTACCTTCACTCTTCGTCGTAAACCTATGACTTCCTGTCCTACAGTATCCTTCAACAATACCTAGGATTCTACCTGGACAAACGACTCACTTGGAACCCCCATACCAAACTGAAACGACTAGAAACCGCCTGACGTTGTCGACTACTGCAGCACTTACTAGACAAACGCTCAAAGCTTTCAATCAATTACAAACGCCTCATATATGTGACAATAATAAGACATATTTGGATTTACGGAGTTGAGCTATGGGGCTCCACTAAATTCACCTCAATGTTCCATATGTTTCCGATTCGGCCCAATCCAGATACCTATATTTCCATAATAAACTGCAGAACCATCCGAACACTCTCGTTTCAAACCTTGCTTCCTCCTCGATCCCTGATAACCCTCCAAGGAGTCTGAAAAGAAGATGGCCTCGGGATCTTCTAATATAGAACTTTAATTTGAGTGCTATCAATGGCTAGTTTCTCTTCATGTTGTACATGTCATGTTACCAGTGTCACATTTACTTATTGGATTTTTCATTAAAATAAAAGAAAAAAGAAGGGTTTTATAATCACGTTGGTTACAGCAGTTAATTGATAGAAGTCATTTTATTTTTATTTATTCACTTATATATATATCTCAGTATTCTACGATTATTCTAAGGGGACTTCAGTCCCAGTATAAAATCATTTTTCATTTCATTCCTTATCATGCTTTATCCTAAGGTATTGAAGGTTCTTATCAGTATTGAGATAGACAGTACCTCTGCACCACTGGCTGGTAGATCGGCACCTGGTAGCCCTCCATCTGGTAGAACTGCGATTGAGGACCCACCAGGTGGTGGCTCATCTGGTTCTGGGGCACGGGGATGAACTGGAGCCCGTACTCCGGGGGCGGGAGTGCCTGGGCGCCTTCTACCGGCAGTTCCTGGACTTGCCAATAGTTCTCTTGGAATGCCCTATGTTTAGACATAAATAAATAAACATAGATAGATAGATAGAAAAAAAACTTTATTCTGGGACTAAGTCCCTTCGGAATAACAATAATGTACAAAATAATAGAATATTACTGGCCTGAACGTTGAAACAATAAATACAATTGATAAAATAAAATAAAAAGTAAAGAAAACCTTAGGTGCACAAGCTATATACAAACAGATAAAACTATGTACAGAGCATTTAAAATTATGAACAAAACAATTAAAACTATGAACGAATCACTTGAACTATGAACAAAATTATATTTAAGGGTTGAACAACATAAACATACACTTTGAGAAATGAAGAACGAAAAAGAGAATACAATGAGTTCATTTCATAAAAAAAAAAAAAAAAAAAAAACTTTACTTGAATATATATATAAAAATAAACAGTTCCTTATAATTGAATAAAAAAAAAAAAAAAAAAATGTATGTATTGAAATTCCTACGTCGATAGTAGGAAATGCATGTACTATCTCTTACCAAGTGTTATGATTATATGATTGCTACACAATACATATATAATATCAATTGTTAGCTGGTATCAGACCGTTTTTGGAACAGGAATTGGAATAGGAGGTTTTTGTATGTATACAGGGAACGGGCATGTCGAATTTTGATCGGGATGGAATTCCAAAAGTTGACAGAGCGGGCTATAAAGGAATTTTGGAATGAGGCAGATCTATGAGAAGGGATGTATAGGTCAGAGGGTCGGGATCTTGTAGTGAGTGAATGGATTGAGGACTTAAATTGGAGAAAGTTGTAGGCATAAGAAGGACGATGATCGGTAATGATTTGATAAAGGAAAGTGCCAAGGAAATATTGTCTTTTTAAGGAGGGGAAGAGCCTTCCCCTTATATATATCTATATACATATCTATCTGCATATATCGGACTACAAGTCAATGTATATAAAACAAAATATATGATATAATATATGCCAAAAAATCCACTCTAATATCATAATCTGCATGGACTCTGGAAGTCATTCGCGAAAATAGACATATTCAAATTCCTGGGATAACCTCAATAAATGATCATATAACAGAGATAGACCATAGAGTAACAAGTGCGAACAAACCTGTCTTCTCCATTTCAAGGCTACTACAGAAATCTAAAATTAAGGGTGTATCCCATATCCGTCAAACCTATACCCTTCCTACCTTTAAATCCCGCCTTTACAATTATTTCTTATCTATCCAGTCCCCATGAAATTGTAAATAGATACTACTGTAAATATGTATATAAATTATTAGGTCTTTCTTCCTTATTTTTTTTTCATTTTTTTTATTATTAATTGATCAAGATTAGAAAGTAACTGACATGTATATATATTATTTTTTATCATAAATATTTAATTACTCTGTATTTTTGTTTTTGTATCTTAAAGGCTCCTTAGCCCACATTTCTGTATTATTCTAAAGGGACTCGTCCCATGATAAATAAAAAAATATTGTTATTATAACGCCGTGATAAAGGCTGTACGCCGTGACCTGGGCCCTAACCGGAACACTAGAAGCCAGAATTGAGAGATTCGAAAGAAACGTTCTCCTTAAGATAACAGGACCTATCCATGATCAGAACCTTAACACATGTAGGAGAAGGAGCCTTAAGGGACTGCTAAAAGAAACTAGTAAGTCAATATCTCATGACATTAAGGAGGTTAAGATGGGCGGGTCATTCCATCAGGACGTCTCTACAAGACAATGAATGCCAGAGTAGTAGGCAAGAGACCACGTGGGAGGCCTGTAGATCTACAAGGTCTGTAGAGGTAAACCATATATATATATATATATATATATATATAGTTTCAATTCCCTATATATATATATATATATATATATATATATAATATATATATATATATATATATATATATACAGGGAATTATTGAAACTTTTAAAATAGTTAGAAAGAGCTTTTTAGAAAAAAGTTCTTAAAATAAAAAAAAATGTAATAAAGTTCCAGGTTTGTCGTAAAAATTTAACTTGTATTTATAGTCTGTGGTACAGACCATTTTTTATCAAATTATTAACATCCCCCTGAAACTTCGTAGATAGCTTCTTATCATTCTAACCTACAACTATTTTATTTACGAAAATTCTCGGAATTGGGGCGTTTCAATCTGAAGATTGATTATCATAGAGACACAGATTCTCTGTGTGTTAAAAAAAAATATGAAAAAATGCAATTGAAACTTTGGAATTTTCACAAGTGTAAGTTCAATTTTTGTGTTTCAACACATGATTTACAAACGGATCTTCTCTGTATTAGCCGCATAACTTAGCCAATTAGACACAAAAAAAGAAGAGAAAAACTAGCTTTATGTTGATACCCACAAAAATTCACAATAATGTACAAAACACACTTGTATAGTTTGACAAAACCGAAAAATCACTCATTTAAACTTATAAATGCAAGGTATTTTTCAAATTCATGTGTTCAAAAAAAGTTTTAAAATATGTTCACTTACATGGGCTGCGGAGCACGCATTAGTTCTGGACTCTCCCTTGTCAAGTCGCCGCCCTCATTAACACTAAAAACAAAAATAAATAAATATAATGTATCAAATAAAATAAAATAAATATAAACATAAAAAAGCTGGATGAGAGAGCTTCTTTAATAAATTAAGAAAGCAAATAAAGATACGCTGCTGGGCACTATATATTCTCACGCCTGTAATGCCATTTTTCAAAATTTACTTGACAACACATCTACTTATCAAATTCATGACGATTGCAGATTAAAGTTTAAATTGAATGAAGATGTTAAAGTATTAGGGACCAGGATTTGATTATATTCTTTTAAATATCTGTGCTCCGGAACTAAAAGATAGTTATTTAAATAATAAATTATTATTTATTAACTAACAAATAAATTTTAATAGCTCAAAGTTATGGAAAATTGACTCCTCTCAACAAATACAATTTTTTTTTTGCGAAATGAATAGGTTTATAAGTAAAAAAAAAGTATTTTTTTTTTTAAATAAAAGATCTGAAAAATCTTTAAATAAAATTTCCTATGAAAAAAATTTCGAGTTGCAAAATAACACAAAAATAATAGAAAAGCTTTAGACCACACGATATATGTGAAAACATCAATTAGGCGCGATTAATAATATGAAATATATATTATAAATAATAGCTCCTTTCAAAGAGGATGAAATGCTGAACATATTGCTCGCTTAAAGTATGCAGATCCGACTTTTAATTTTTGAGATATTTTAATCCAAATGAAAAAACTATTGAAGGAAGTTAGTCAACTGTTCTACATATCATGGATGATAAATATTCGGGACGCAATCATTGCAAGGATTTTATTAGTGCTGACGTTTCAACCCGAACATGTGGGTTATCATCAGGACGTGGTTCGAGCACTGAAGGTATTCAAGTACTTTAATCGACAAATATATTGTATATAAAAATATTTACATACGAGAACTATATTTAAAAACATATCTTTACACCAAATTGTCCGATTTCAGATTTTTTTTTTATGTTTTGGGAGATTATGTAAACTTTTAAATGACCATTTATAATATCCACACAAAAGTGTATAC